AGTAAATTGTGGCCTCTAGGTTGGAGTTGGAGAGCGAAGTAGGTAACTGAGCTGTGAAACGGGAGTCCGTAAAGTTCAAAGACCGGTCAAAGGCAGGGAGCAAGCAATATTTATATGCGTTGGTTTCAATGACTTTTTACTGCAAGTATAGTGAAGACACATTACATTATGAACACACGATATTTCTAGCTGAGTGTTTACTTCTCTGCTTTTTTATTAAAAGTAATTGAGTGCGAGCCCCGTTTTCATTCTCCAGTCTGAAATGCGAATTCGCCTTACGGTGAATATGACAAAGGCAAACAGAGTTCCGCAAGAGCATGAACCGCAATTGGTGATGTCGATGGAGCTATTGAACATTGCTCTATACATTTAATAAACACTGCTACTCTCTCACTGACACAGATATGTTCAAGCGCCTCACTAAAGCATATTTAGTTTGACACGAATTTTCATCACCACCGTTCATTCGCCGCGTTTACCCTGGTTCAGTGCAGTCCATCAACCATGTTGCCCATGAGTTTACAAATCGAAATTATGGACAGTTCATCTCATTCTCCGCTAATCTTCGCGTCTAAAACGCTTTTTGTTTCAGTACAACAATCTCAACTTCCACATCATCTTGGTATATAGGGTTCAAAAGGGTTATATTGATGTTCCAACTCATCCGATAATTTCACGGTCAAACATGAAAAATCCGAACAGTTGTGGGATCTGCAACTGTTAGAAGTCTTTTGGCAAAATTTGTAATGCCGTGACTTACAGCTTTTGTCCAACATGTATGTTTCTTCGTATGATTTGACATGAAACATCTCAATGGCAACGACTTTATCCGCCTTGGACCGCTGGATCTCATGCGTGGTCTTGAAAGCAACGTCCAGGCGCTGTGATGTAAGTGACCTGAAAATGTCGGCGAGACGTAAGGCCAGGTTGGCTATACCCATGTCAAAGACCGTATCAGTCTGGATATCAATTTACTTACTTCTTTCAAGTCCTCTCTCCATATTGCAAAGTTGGTGCGGACCAGACAGGGTAGGGATATCAATAGCTTCACCCAAAGAGTCCAATATCTTTGGCAACAACATCGGATTCAAAGCTAGAAATGCCCTTCGGTAATATCCCGCCACTTCTAATTGGCTATCAATTCTCAGGATCCGGGGTTCCATGCTGGAAACACGGATTTCTTCACACTGAAAAGCTCTCTGTAGGCTTAGTATCATAGACTGCAAATGATACATTGAGACCTCGGCACCAAACAGTGGCGATTCTTTGAGCCGGCATGCCATCGTTGACAGAAAGGTTTGGTCACGAGTCCAGATTTCCTTGGATTCATATCCCTCAAGTTCACCAGCCTGTATGCCTTGAAAAACATGACAAATCAATGCGACGCTTGCCCTCACTCCAAACGGCCGGTACGGAGCGTGTTCGGTTTGCAAGGTTTCAGCTAGAAAGCTCGAGTGAGGGGATGCATTTTGCCCGATAAGGAACAATATATACCTTGTTTGGAGTTCTATGTCTTCCAATGTTACTGTGTGCAGCCCGTCGGACTCAGTCAAAGCTTCGCGGGCACCGATTAGCCATCCTTGAAGATGACCATCCAGCAAAACAAAGCTCTCTTCCCAGTCACGGCCGCGGCGACATATGACCTTCCACAGAGCTCCTACATCCATAGGAAGCATTGAGGAAATGAAAAGATAACTTAGAACCAACAAGAGTTGGTGGACTGTGGGTGGACCGTAAATGCTTTTCCCAGCTATGGTAAAATCAAAATTCGGCCGTGGAGGCAAAGAGGTCTGGTTGACAGTCAGTCGTGGGTCTCAAAGCCTCATAAATTGTGATTATCACCGGAGGTGTCATCTGCACAAACGGCTTTGTCGTTTGAGAGGTTGACAAGCTTCGACCCCGTTCCATAATATCTTCAGCAGCTGTAGGGCCATTTGTTTGGGAAAGCGACTCCGCCACCGTAGCCGCAACAATCTTTGGTAGTATCTCGTAAGGCGGATTTTGATCTTGCTTGAAACCCTTCTTCTTCAAGTGCTGAATATGTTCATCATCTGCACACCCTACGACGTGGTGCATAGCCTCAGCTGTACTCGTTCCGTGTTGCAAAGCCTGTTCGGTTGGCGGTTCTTGTACTTTCCATGTAGTTTGGTAATCACCAAGTTCACCCTCTTGTACCTGCTTTTGCTGATTTGGCCGTAGCTCTGAGAGAGCAGGTCTCCGGTCTGTCCCTTTCATTGCATAAACACACAATTTACCACGCCTGACACAAGCTTGACAATGGGGAACTTCACGATTGCATCGAATTTTCAAACTGCGGCATGATTGGCAGGAATGAAGAGGCATTGTGGTTGGACTGGTCAAAATTGCAAGCTACCACGGTTGCATTCCAACTGTTTAAGCAAGACGTGTGATAGCTATAGGACGCGTGGACATAACAATTGGTGATAGACTGTCACTCCCGATGCACTGCAATAGGATATGTCAAACGCTCTTCTCAGCAGGTGCAGAAGCGGAAGGCGCATTGCTGAAAGGCGCTTTCAGCTCAGGGCGAGTGGTACTGCGACGCAGAAGAATCCAGTATGTAGGGGCGATTGTTGTAGCACAACACGGTCAAGGTAACCTGAAGCTATACGGGTAGAAGTGAAACAGTCCATAGAAGAGGAAAACCGGAACTTATAGTGTCTGTTGGTTTCAAAGACTGTATACAGTAACTCAAGATATGTAGCCAGGTTTGATGATTACAGTCCGCTGATTCCGGATAAGTTCCTAGGAAGGGGTTCCTTCGTCCTAGGAGCAACCGGCATTATTGTCAGAGATCGAGCATATATAGTAGCTTGGGTGTTTGGTCGCTGACCAAACATTGTGCCTTTTTGGCCAGATGGCGTAGTGGTAAAACCCAAGCATCCATGAACCGTACAATTATCTAGATGATTGAGCTCTGACAGGAGGAGTTCCTTGGATATTAGGAATTATGAACAGTGCCCTGGGAGCCGCATTGCCTATCCTGGGCTCGGCTTTCTGCTGGAAATTAAAGTTAGAGTCCAAAAGCCTTTTGGTAGGATTGAAAATCATTAAGCAAACTTCAAGCCATTTCTGCACACTTCTTGCACTTACTAGTTCCCCGCTGTTTCCCTCATCATTTTGGGTATACCACCTAGGCCAAATTCCTGGAAGCCATTCGCTGAAGAAAGAGACCCCCTTTCACCATACGTCAGTAGCACATGATAACCTCAAGAAGCCCATGCGCTTTTTCAGTAGGGCAACTTACACACATTCAACTTCAATTTTGCTAAAAGTATTGGGAAATCATTGAAATGGACTGCTCGTCTTTTCGGCAGAGTGATTTCTAAATCTTAGCTGGACAAGGCAAGATAACCCCTTTGCTGCGGCTGTTTTCTTTCTTCTTTCAGTTAGAGGGCAATGTGACTACCTATTGATAAGTGCCTTCTTCCCAAAGGTATTAAATACGCGCTCTACCCGCCTATCAGCGGAAGGAACCTAAGCGCCGGTATCACACCGAAATTCATCTATACTGTAATTCCACTGGTTTGATTTGATGGTCTTATAACTGATTAGGGGGTGTAATCTTTGGAGACACGGTATACCATTGATGCTCTTGCTTGGTACTTAGTCTCAAAGTTCTCCAGATATCGATTCCTTGTGTTACTCTGTACTTAAATTAGAAATTCGTTATTAAATGTCCGCCGACCGTACAATGGGGATTTGAAGACAACATAGATGGCTTCCCTATTTTCTCATGGAAGAGGCTCGCAATTTTTCTCTATATCGCTTTAAAAATTCGGCGATAGATATCGACTTGTCCATTATTATCTATGTAATAGAAGAATCTCTAAAATATGTCCCATGAAAGCAACTGAGGTAGGAATCTCGTATATCTTCTCTTTCTTGATGCTGCAGGTCTCTTAAGGGACGGAGAAACGATGACAATGTCAAGCTTCCTTGCAGTTTATAGTGTGGTGGTCATTGATCGATCAGCCGAGGCGTTGGGTCATTGACGTACAACCGGACTGGCCTGCCCTGAGCCCACCCTGAGCCCACCCTGAGCCAACCCTGAGCCTACCCTGAGCCTACCCTGAGCCTACCCTGAGCCCACCCTGAGCCAACCCTGAGCCAACCCTGAGCCAACCCTGAGCCCACCCTGAGCCTACCCTGAGCCTACCCTGAGCCCACCCTGAACCAACCCTGAGCCGACCCTGAGCCCACCCAGAGCTTACCCTGAGCTTACGTCAACTGAAGTGGGGGAAATTCCGTAGGCTCCCCGCACTGTATTACGGTATTCGCTTATTCAACAACAACCACATTACCGTGTTCTGTATGGTAATTGCGATCATACCGGAAAAATTATGTCGTAACACGCAGTACATAGCTCATTGGATTATTTTACTAATCTAACAGATCTTCGATCAACCATCTTCATTAGCCGACTATATTCGTTACTGGCTGAATCGGTATCCAGCATCCTGAGAATCCTCCTCATTCGAGCAATTGGGTGCAATGAGATTGATTGACTTGGATATTGAATAACGATATCATCCCTTGTGACTGTATTGCCCCAACAGGATGTCAACACTGGGTTGGGTTCTATTTAACAATTTCAAAAGTAATCAAAGACGATGACCAATCCAATTCTAGAGCCCTGATCATCACAATCTTCACTTCCTATGCGTGGCTAGACAGACGATGGGCCTTTTCAGTCTTCGAAGATCCACCTCATGCGCTAAATCAAGTCCATATATGTGGCAATTTCAATAGTCTAAACAATAGTCTAAAAGATTTTATCCAATATGTGAATTATGCCCAGCAATAACAATTGAGCTACTCGAAAGCAAAGCGCTGTGGCAGATCTGCGATCTTGAAAGCTACGCGCACACACGCTGAGACATACCGGCACGTCTGCAATTGTTATCAAAATGACTTGAAGATTTACGATATTTCCAATTTCATAAAAAAAAAAGAGGCAAGACTAGAACATCATGAGATCAATCGAAGGATAAGGGAACGGATGACTGTTTTTTCTTGTGAGTTGTACTCCAGTAGACTTGTATTGACCCCTTGCTCCGCCCGGGGAATTGACGTGAAAATTGCTTGATCACCTCTGACCAAGAGAGTTTCTGCTTTTCTCTTAGCTTCGTCAAAAGGTGATCTTCCTCCCCGGACCACGGCTGTCCTTTTCTCGAAAATGTACCTTGCACTTCAGCCCGTTCAGTGTTTAAGCTTGTGTGATCACAGTCGTAGCTCACATCAAATTGGCCGGGGACCGGTCTTGACGGAGAAGCGGCATCGGGGCTGGAAGGCGAAGAGGCGCAATGAGATAGAGCACCCTCAAACAGCCAGGAAAGGAACTGTAGTCGGTCTTCGACTGAAAGGGCCGAGAATTGAGCACGGACTGTAGGGAAGGAAATGCTTTGACGATGACCAGAACTTTTATTGAACCGGCCGGGGCTCTTGTTTATGTGCCTTTTCCCAGGACTAGAACGTTTTGTGGTTTTCAATTGGCAATCAGCGCCCACCGTCGCCTTTGAGTTCTGTCGTCTGCGTTGGAGGGATGATGCTTTCTCCTGAGAGCGAGTGGACCTCGCGGGACAGTCTTCCCGGATTGTCGCGATACCCTCCGCTGTTTGCGGCTGCTCAGCATCCTGAGAGTCATTGCCGTTCAGGATTGCAGGATCAATGATTTCAATACCTGGTAGCTCTCCATTCTGAGCATCGTCTTCAGAATCGAAAATTTGAGGTTGTTGACCAGCAAAGCCGGTAGGCTCCGAGCCGCCCGATTCCAAACCCAGGGGTTGATGCTCAGCGTCCCAACGAACACCATCAGCAAATATCGCAGGAGCGACGTCATCGGCGCACACTATGTTTTGTGGCTGCAGAATGTTCTCAGAGTCGAAAGACTGGGGTAAATCGACAGTGGAAGGTGTCCGACCTGAGCCCTCCCATTCTCGTCGAGTGGTTTGAGTCTCCGAATGCAAACTATCCAAGCAGACTTCCGTCGGCGGGCGGGCAGGAAGCGGATGTCGCTCAGGTTTGTTGGAATGAAGTTTGTAGCTCTTTGGGTCTTTATCGCTTGAATTGGAGGGTGGCGGGGTCGCAGTGATCGAGACCGGACTTGGATAGCGACAAGCACCGGGGGGATCACGCAGAGGCTGGGCTTTGTCTTGGAAAGGATTCCATGGACGAAATGATTCCAGGCGAAAGTTGGTGTTTGACATGTTGAAAAAGGTAGATGGCTAGAAGAATCCTGAAGGTGTTGCTTTGGGAAGGGAAAAGGAGGGGTTGGAGGTCGAGTGTGTAGCAGGGTTAGGGGGGAGGGAAGGGGGAACTGATGGATTGATTGAGCCATTCGAAGGAGATTGTCATCTCCTTTATACAAGGATTTCCCGTGAGACGGCGCAGAGAATTCACCGCGGCATTCAACTCGAGCCGTTTCACTGTCACATCAAGGCGCGGAGCCACACCGGTTGCACATCAAGGGGTCGAAGGCCATCGGCAAAAGCGTCCGCACACCTCGGTGGCGGCCTATTGTGACCCGGCTCCACAGTGGTCGTCAGCCTAATCTCCAATCGCTCATGTATGCGCGTGGTCGGCAGCCGTCTGTAGAATGGACCGTCGGCCTCGTGATGCAGTACTTGGCATCGATTGAGACCAGGCAAAAATGCGGCAATTTCGCCATTGGTCCGTATCACGGCATGGTCGTCCGAAGTCTCGTCGACTGGGTAACAATGGTCAGGAGAAATAGACAATGACGAAAGTCTTACCCTTAGGCAGTCTCGAACAAGCGGGCCTGCGTGGACGACTGGGGGCTGTACAATGCAACCTCGGACGGTCCACAGCAAATCAGGAGCGTGTGTATTGAGGATTTCCGAGACACTCTTCTCCGGCCGCGCAAAAACAATGCCAGCAAAATGAGCGAGGCGCTCAGCGAAATGGGCTCGCAACAGGAGGAACAGGAGGGTTTCTCGAGAGCTTCATAGTATAACCAACCGGCGGCGGAGATGCTAGCATCGTGTTGCACGATATGTCCGAAGACTTCATGATCTCAATGCATCAACTCGCCAGGGATTAGCCCGCGTTGCAGACGCTGGCCAGAACGGGCTCAACGGTGGATCGAGCAGCATCTCCGGCGGAAATGAAAGGGGCGATGCATCAGGTGGCAAGCCAATGGGTAGAAGTTGGTCGGGGCCGAGAGAAAGGGAGTCGGACAGGAAAAAGAAGAGAAAGTGCGTCGACAAAGCTGCGAGGAGAACGAGCGGTGTTTTATAGATGGAGATGCGGGTTGGGGGCGGTAAAAGCGGCCAGAGGTGGCACTAAACCCGAACGGGGGCGCGGACAACGGCACCAAACCCGAACGGGCAAGGGGATGGCGGAGACGGGCAGGCGGTCGAGGGCGGCAGGACGGCGGTGCAATGGGAGCCGGTTCTGGCCCCCGCTCACCGTGTCCTCGTATACTCACGAATACACTACTAAGGTTCTATTATTTCGTTCGGAAAGATCCTAACGAGAAATACTATCGCCTATCTATCCCGATTTTATATAACTTTCTTAAATAGGCTCTTAATTTACGACGCGGTAAAAATAGAAGAAGACTTCTAGGAATTTCGAAAGGTCCACTTTAAAGAAGATTAGAAATCAGATGAATTATCGGATACGTCGAGTATAAGAGCCTATTTTATCCTTACCTATCTAGCCTAGACCTTCTTCTAAGACTAATCTACTTCCGAATCTAGGTAATCCGACGATTAGCTAAAAAGTATAAGTTATTAATTAAAGGGCGAGATAAACCTCCTATAGATGTTAAGGACCTAGCAAAAGTCGTAGAGACCACTACTAGCATAATAAAGAAAAAGTTCGGACATAGCCGCCACCGTATTAAGCTCGGTCTTTTCTTATAGCTCGTAGGCCTTACGATAAACCGCCTATAAGCTATCCTTATGTTACGCACGACTAACGGGTCGTCGCTATGTTGGAAGATTCCTAGGTTATACTTGCCTAAGGCTTCTCTGCTTCCAACGTCAACGATCTGTCTCTCAACCGAACCGTTGCCTAACAGGCCTTATACGGGCTAAGTCCTTTTGAGGGTATCGAGGAGCGATGCTAGATAGAGCGCCGAACTAACCTATACCGGAGTACGGGTCTATTCGTAGTGTTGTTAAGTTATAATCAAGTTATACGAGTCACTAAAGGTTCTAAATAGTAGATATAAGTAATAATGTATGATTGAATATAAAGAACTAAACTAGATATATAAATAAGTGTCCTTATATATCCTAAGTCCTTCTTAAGTAGAATAGTAGAAAGTAGAATAGTAGAACTGTTCTACCTATCGACTATCGACCTTTCTACTACTTATATAATCACGTGGTGGTCGTCTTATTGGTTATTACGGTATACTATAAGACGGCGAGCGGAGGGCCGAAAGTGGCTTTGTTAGCGCGTAGATCCTGTCCATCATATATAGGCATATATGTATAGGATAAAGTCTGCCGGGTGGGTCCGCTTAGGGTAAATCATGCTTATGCTCACTAAGCATAATCACGTTTCTCTTTTCCTTAGATACTCGGGGTGTCTGGAGTATAAGGTACTACACGTGATCTAATAACAGATAGATCGGTTGGCTCTCGGTGGCCTATCAGTAAGTTGCGGCCCCATAATTGATTGGTGCCTGGTAGGTCCGTAACACGGTTTCTCTCCCCTTGGCTAGATAGAGACGATTACACGAAGGAGCTTTAGTCGAGCTAGGCTGCACTGTAGGAGCTTTCTAGTGCTCGGAAAACAATAGACGGGGGTGAGTGTCTTAGAAATACGGCTTAACGATGTTATATAGAAAGCTAAAACCGATCAATATAGTCTTAGCACAAATCTTAATTATTAAATAACGTCTCCGAAACCATCGTGGTTTAGTGGCTTAACTTTCTAAGAGTAGGGACCACGCCACCCACTAAGAGAAAACATCGACCCGTGACGGCGCTCGAACTTTTGTTCTAACTTAGGGAGCTTTCGGTCTAGAGGCCTCGGTAGGGGATAAGAGCCTAAGATACTAAGATTTACTAACTATCCCTATACCTCTCCGTTATACTAGCAAAGCTAGATCACCCTAGCTAGTTAATTGTAACGGAATCCTCAGAAGCCATGCACAGATCTCTCGCTCTCCCAGAGGATCGACACCATATAGGTGTCGACACGTCAGCGTTGGCTCACCGTAACGCTGATCCCCCATGTTAAATAGTCTGCCCCGGAGAACCCAGCGGTTCTCTAAGAATCAGTCTCTGTATTCCTCCAATATATTGTTCGCTTCTAGGCATCTTTATCTTACCTAGTTGACAGGCTCTATCCTATAAACATGTAACGGAATCCTCAGAAGCCATGCACAGATCTCTCGCACTCCCAGAGGATCGACACCATATAAGTGTCGACACGTCAGCGTTGGCTCACCGTAACGCTGATCCCCCATGTTAAATAGTCTGCCCCGGAGAACCCAGCGGTTCTCCAAGAATCAGTCTCTGTATTCCTCCAATATATTGTTCGCTTCCAGGCATCTTCATCTTACCTAGTTGACAGGCTCTATCCTGTAAACACTAGAACCCTACTTCTTTACAATTCTGATTCTTCTTCTTTAACTACCTAAGATTGAAGATGCCTCCTAAAGCAACAATGACCACCCGATCGTCGGTCGCTCGTGGGTCGCCAGCGAACCCACACCGGACCGACGCCGAGTCTATGATTCCTCCTGCTACCGCCTACGACGAAAGTAGCAGTCTAGAGAATGATTCTTAGGACCGGGCTCCCTAACTTAGCGAGCACCTCGCTAAGGTCGAACGCCTCGAAACCCTTCACGCGTTGCTTACTCGAAAGAAAGAACTCGAGGAAGCGATCGGCTAAATAACGGAGCAATCGACGTCGGACCGCTATCGACGTTCTCCCTCTACGTCATCGGAAAGAGGACGAGCTTCCGGAGAGATCAAAATCGAGGTTCTAATTTTCAAAGCATATTATAGTATACAATAACGTCAAACTTAGCTTAACGACCTCTAAGACATGTTCGCGGGTGCACCCCGTAAATATAGATCGGACGAAAGAAAGATCCTTAGTGCCACTAATAGTATAACCTCTGACTACCGCGAAAGATGGCGACACTACGTTAAAGAAAAAGCGGAACCCCAGCGAACCGCTTACAAAACGACGTGGGACCTATTCGAGAAATAGACTCTTACGTTGCTACACAATTCAGCTACACTATAAGCTAATATCGCTACCTCCTTATAAGAAGCCCGGCAAGGCCCGAATCAAAGTCCGAGCGATTTTAATTCTTACCTTCTTTCGCTCGAGAGACACTTCGAAGCACCGCCGGAGGATTAACGGGCGTTAAACTTCTTCACTAAGTTATAGCTCCGTCTCCGAAATCGTATCTAAAACGCTATGCTTTATCTACCAAAAAATCGAGACGAGATGGTATCGACAGCGATGCACTATTAGAACCTTATCTATACTAAATCGGGCACAAAAAACTACCCCCTCGCTTAACAAACAAAAGACATCACTCCCCTAACCAACAGGGATATCGAAAACGGATTAACTTCAACGGGCTATCCTCTAACTCTGGTCGGGGCCGAGGATAGAACCGTGGAAACTTCCGAGGACGAGGCGGTGATCGAAACCCAAACATTAAACCATATTCAAACCGGCGTGAATTCGGCGCAAAGCCGTATGATCGCTAACGAACCGACGGCGTAACTCCACCAAAACCATATAGCTGTTTCACTTACGGTTCAACCGATCACTAGAAGGACGAATGCCCCTAGAATTCAACTAGGGTCTAGTTAGCACTAGTACACTCGGGAAAAGCCAAAGGGTCGGTGTAGAAGCCGGAACACCGACCCCTCAAGAAACAATTAGGACCGTATGCCGCCTCTATATCCCAATTACCGTACGGGGCGACATCGAAACGTATGCGGATCTCGATAGCGGAGCTAAGGTTGATATCGTCAGTCATCAATTCGCTCAGCAATACGGACTTCGTCGTGCACCGCTCACTAGCGTTATTATCTCAGCTATTAATCGAAGGTTAACACCTACTTACGGGGTGTGGGTAGTCCCTATCCCACGGGGGTGGGTGAACTCTGCCAGAGTTCAGGTTAGGGCTTTGTCTTAACTATGGGACATAAAAAGTGGGCCCCGCCTGAGTTCAGGTTAATTTCCTCGCCAGGGTTCAGAGGTCAAATGAACTCCGATCGTTCTCAAATTTTTATAAGTTATAATAGACTATGTGAAATATCTCCCATTTGCTTCGGAGCATGCACAGCCTACTAGTTATCGAGAAAATGTCGATTAAAAATTAGAGATGTTTTGTTGGGGTGTACCATTACGGTGTACGATTAGCACCTAAGACGCTACCACAGCACTCTAGACGAATAGAACAACCTCGATAATGCTAGTCAATAATGATTAGGAGGGGTAGCCATTAATTTAGGGGGTTTGAAAGCTTCCTAGCTATTGTCTCACTTTTCTTTTATACTATTTCACCCCAAAGTTAGCATTAGACATTCGTCAAATTTCATGCAATTCACTATTGTACGATATATATCTACACCTTTATTATGCAAACCCAATTTTTTCACCAACCTTCGACAGACCCAGTCTTCGTGTGTAAGACATGCGAGCACGTCGTTAGACCGAGAGAGGTCTTTCGACACTTTCAATCTCCGAACCATCGCTTTCCAATGCCGAAAGCACGCCAAATTGCTAAAGCTGTTCAGACCTCCGAGCGCGCGCAAGAATGCGATGAATGGCAAGCTCCGACCGCGGTAAATGACCCAATTGCTAATTTGCCAGTTTTTTCGGATGGCATTTTATGCGAAAAGGGTCAGTTTTGTCAATTTATCGCTAGGAAAGCTAGCACTATACGTAAGCATTGGCGTGAGCAGCATGGTTGGGTCGCACCGGCTCACTATAGCGGCCGTCGGCGGCAGCAAGGTTT